GTACTCGTCTTAGAGGATTTATATAATTTTCTATCATGGCTTTATTTTATGTCGTATTCCAAATATAATGGATGGTGTTACTTTGATGTAAATGTCTTTTTCATATAAACGTGAATGTGTAGGCAAAAATAATCTGATATGTGGATTTGCATTTACTGAGGACTATAGACTAGTTTAGATGAATAGAACTGAATACTAAAATATTTTAGAATATATTTTAGATAAATCGAGTTTGTGCAGAATAATCACAAAACAATAATACTAGTTTTAGTAGAATACTGATATTTCACTTATAGTTAATAGCACAATTATAATATTATTTTTTATATTAAAAAGAAGCTAGATATATGTCCTAAGAAATAGTATAAAGAAGCAGAATTATGTTTTTTCACGTAAAAACAGTATAGATTCAGCAGTTTATACATTTTATACGAAACCTTGGAATCCATAGCCTAGTGTCGCATACATCTTGGGGTTATAATAGAACTTTTCGAGTCAAACACGTTTTAGGTATTCTTTTGGGGTTTTGAAGTTATTTCAGTTTTAGTTAGTAATGTTTTTTTTGGTTAAATACTCCTAGTGAGTAGGATTTGGAGTCGTCTTTTTATCGGAAACTTAATTTATTTTTTCTTTTCTAAAATTATGTTTGTTGTCAAAAAAAGTATACCATGTTAAATTTTATGGAATATTAGTTTTGTTTCTAACTTCTACGTTATAGCATTCAATAAATCAAAGAACTTAGAAGGTTATCACATCCACCTACCAAATACCTCATATGTTATATAATACCGCAGTTATGGCTCGAATCTTGTTATATACACATCAATGTTTTCATCCAACAAATCGTCGTATAATAAATTCGTTTATGAATCATTTTAGTGTTTAGTGAGAGGTCCACATTTCAAATTTATTTTCCTCGTTTTTGGTAATGTGAGTACATAGAATACAACATATATATAAAAAAAACAATAGAAGAGTGAAGAAATCACAAGTAAACAGATGGCATTTTTATAGTTGGGAGAGAGGTCATGGTCCATGGAAAGGGCTGTCTTGGTTGGTGCTTGCATAAGGTTCCTTCTTTCTCTTCTTTTAACGACAAAACCCATGATTTGTGGATTAACCTTACAGCTCACACATGCATATATCATACATTTCGCTGGATCTAGTACTTACTTAACTATATATTATATAAACACACTGTAGATTTCTGATATGCGTTGTGTGAGGGTATACATGAATAATTTTTGAACTATATTTATGTATTATTTCTAGTGTAGGAAAATATTGTATAGTTAATAGAAATAATTTTTGTGTATATATATGTTTGTTATATGAATTTTTTTTTTTTTTTGAAAGAACTCATCATTATTCATGAATCAATGTAGAGGTAGGTTTCAGAAACCATGAATCAATAAACGTGAAACACGATTCATACTCTCTAAAAGAACAAATAAGGAAGTAGTTTCTCACAATGGCGTGAAAAGATAGCCTCATGCACAGATCCATCATGAGACTAACATAGTTAAGCACAATAACAGACACAATCATCTTGTGCATAGATAGCTGGTGTTAAGACACTAAAGGCAAATTGAACATGAAAACGCCAAAAAAAAGTTTGTTTATCAAATATCAGTTTATAGTTAATCTATAAAAAATCTTAAATTTTATAATTTAACAAACATATCAAAACGATGATTAATATATTATTTGATTAATATATTATTTTGAAAGCAACTGTTCAAAATTTTGTTGGAATGGTGATTTTCAAAGTACAAAAAACGAGATAGTGAATAAATGGGCTTTACTTCATTTGATTGTAAGATGGGCTACGAGATTTTAGGCTCAAGTCTAATCAGAATGTTGCGCAGCTCTGTTCTTCATCTTCCCATGAAGCTATGTTCTTGAAAAAAGGAGCCCAACGGCTTCGACTCAGTTGGAAGAGCGCTTAACTCGTCTTCTTCTTCGCCTTAGACTACTGTTGTCACTAAAAAAGTTAAATTTCTTTGGTTCTTATTGCTTTCAAGATTTTCTATTCGTATTTTAGAAAGAGCGAAACCGTGTGATCAATTAGTTCAATTAAGTCTAGGATTTGATCAAGATCGATCAAGATTAAGGTTAAAATCCTTAACATCCCCTAATAATTTTTATTTTGTTTCGAGCACTCGAATTCAATATCGCATAGACCCACATAATTTTGGTTCATGAACACTAGATAGAGCTGTGTGTTAATTGGTAAGAAGCACAAACCATGCCCTTCTCTGTGTGTTGCATTATCATTATATAATGTACAAGGGAATCAAGCTAATCAATCAGAGTAAATACAAGAATATACGGTGCACTAATTTCGGTATTGAGTTTCCTATTCTATCACTCCCCCGCAGTCTTAACGTGGGATGGCTGAACGTTTAGACTGGATCGAAAGCTGGTGAAGAGTGAAGATGGAAGCCCCTTGGTAAAAATATCTGCGTATTGGTGAGCCGAGGGAACGTGGAGCACTCGTACACTGCCAAGGGCAACACGTTCTCGGACGAAATGGATGTCAATCTCCACGTGTTTAGTGCGTTGGTGTTGGACTGGGTTTGTAGAAAGGTAGACGGCGCTGACGTTGTCACAATACACGATAGTTGCAGTGGTGATAGGACAACGAAGTTCAAGAAGGAGATTACGAAGCCAAGTTGTTTCGGCTACAGCATTGGCAACTCCACGGTATTCAGCTTCCGCACTTGAACGAGATACTGTTGGTTGGCGTTTTAATGACCAAGAGACGAGGTTGTCGCCAAGGAAGACGCAATACCCAGAGGTGGATCGGCGTGTGGTGGTACAACCTGCCCAGTCAGCATCGGTGTAAGCCGTGATCTTAGAGATGGTGGTTGGTTTCAGTTGAAGTCCGTGAGTGATGGTGCCTTTGATGTAGCGGATTATACGTTTGAGAGCATTAAGATGTGGCTCACGGGGATCATGCATGTGAAGACAAACCTGCTGAACGGAATATGCTATGTCTGGACGCGTGAAAGTGAGGTATTGGAGAGCACCAGCAAGGCTGCGATAGAGAGTAGGGTCAGCAACAGGTGGTCCAGCATCAGCCGCAAGTTTTGACGATGTATCAACCGGGGTGGAGCAAGGGTTGCATCCCGACATGCCTGCACGGTGGATGATGTCGGCGGCGTAGTTTTGTTGGCTTAAGAACATCCCGTTTTGATCCCTGTTAATAGCAATACCAAGAAAATAGTGAAGATCGCCAAGGTCAGTCATAGAAAATTCAGAGTTTAGAGATGTTATGATCGACCGTAGGAGAGAAGGTGAAGATGCTGTGAGTCCAATGTCGTCTACGTAGAGGAGTAGATAGGCTAAGTCTTTCCCGCGGCTTAGAACAAATAATGATGCATCACATTTGCTTTGTTTAAACCCGATCTTGGTGGCGAAGTTTGCGAAACGTTGATACCAAGCACGAGGGGCTTGTTTAAGGCCGTAGAGAGATTTTTTGAGTAGACAGACATGCGTAGGCCGAGTTGGATCAACGAATCCTGGTGGCTGATGCATATACACTGTTTCATCGAGATCGCCGTATAAGAATGCATTTTTGACGTCGAGTTGTCGCACAGGCCATTGAAGTGAGACGGCAACGTGAAGGACAGTACGGATCGTCGCAGGCTTGACGACAGGGCTGAAAGTCTCATCGCAATCTATTCCAATTTGTTGTGATTTGCCATTTGCGACAAGACGGGCTTTGTATCGAGAAAGACGACCACCTGCATCAAACTTATGTCTAAAAAGCCACATGGAGCGCACAATGTTAGTGTGTAAGGGTCTTGGGACAATTATAAACGTGCCACTCTTAATGAGAGCATCATATTCTACATGCATTGCATTGTTCCAATACTTATCTTTTAAAGCTTGGACATGAGATATAGGGAGAGGAGAGATCGTATCTGTATGAAGTGAGAAAATCTGCTTCTTTTTAGTAATTCCACTACGGCTCCGTGTTTGTATCCCATGAGAAGGTGGAAGAGGAGGTGGAGCTTGCGTTGTTACAACAACTGGAGGAACCATCGGCGGTGCTGGTGGAGCTGGTGGTGGTGGTGGAGCTAGTGGAGCTGGCGGAGTAGGCAGAGCCGGCGGAGCTGACGGTGTTTGTTGGGGAGGCAAAGTCACGGAAGGAAGAGAGTGGAGAAGAGGATAATAAGAGTGTTGAGTAGTCGGTGGCGTTGGATATGTTTCAGAAGCAGAGTGTTGAAAAGGGAAAGAGTTTTCATTAAAAACGACATGACGAGATAAGATTATGCGTTTTGTTTCAAGGTCTAAGCATCGATAGCCACGATGGTTGAAGGGATAGCCCAGAAAAACGCATTTAGAGGAGCGAGGAGCAAGTTTATGAATAGAAGTTGGAAGAAGATTTGGATAACAAAGGCAGCCAAAAATTCGAAGGTGATCATAAGAGACGGCTTTTTGAAAGAGTCGAGTAAAAGGGATTTCATTGTTGATAGAGGAAGAGGGAAGAATGTTGAACAGGTGAGCTGCCATATGAAGCGCTTCGACCCAATAGGAAGGAGGCATATGAGCTTGGAGAAGGAGAACACGAATGAGATTGTTGAGGGTTCGAAGAGTGCGTTCAGCACGGCCATTTTGCTGTGAGGTATGGGGGCATGAGAAGCGAGATTGGATGCCATTGGAAGAGAGAAAATTTTGAAATTCACGACTGGTGTATTCACCACCATTGTCACAATGAAAAGCTTTAATTGTTTTGTTA